CCAACTGTGGTCAAACGAGGCTCAAGACCATCCTCCTGACTTGGGGGAAAAACCTCCCAGGTTCCCACCGCACCCTCCCTTAAGACAGTATTTGTCAAAGTGGGGGAACACCTATTCCATAATCAGCCCGGATGCTCGTGAAAGATGCAGTTCTGGCCTCGGCCCCTTATTAACCTTAGGCGAACCATCTGACCTCTCTAGACCCCAGTTGCCCACTTGTAGAAGGGAATCGTGAGAGCACCGCTCTGCAGGAATGTGTGGAAGTGCTCGCGTACAATTTCCGACATAATGGTGGTGACTGTTCCCTCTTAATTCCCAAGGATGACAAGCCAGCTACTGTTTTGGACCCTGGGGGGCAGAGATGAGCCAGCCGGTCCTCCTCCTTAGGGAGCTCACAGTCTAACCAGTGACATACTGAATCCTTCCTCTTCAAACCAAGGCTCCCGCTCCTAACGATTCAATGACTGTGCCGCTTGTGTTTTCCAGAACAAGAAACTATTTGTACCACAGAAAGGAACCTCTTCTGGTTGAGGGTGTTCCCTACGCGGTAGATAATAAAGCTGCCTCGGTTTCCTCATCTGTAAAACGGGCTTTCTCCATTCTCAGGGTGAGGAGAAGCACGTATATGGGCCGTGTGCAGAGGGCAGGGAAGCTCTCCGTGAAGGTGGCACTGGTGGGGACCAGAAGTCCTGGGAGCAGAACCCCACACCGGCTTTCCCTCGGGAGAAGCCCGGTGAACCTGGCTGGATCTGGCAGAGGGAGGACACCATGGCCAATGAAACAACCGGGTGGGAAACCCGAAGGCCCCGCCCAGCCCACCTGGCCAACACCAACAGGCAACCCCCTGCCCAGACCCGTCTCTGTCCAGAAGGGAGACGCTTCCCTGAGCCATCCCTCCTCTGAAACCTGCACCTTTGTCCTTCCTTTCCAGCTTCAACTTCCAAGCTGTAGGACACAGGGAGTTAGTTCTCCTGGTGTTTCCAGGCCCCAGGTGGCAGACAACCCAGCACCTTTGCTGGGACAGCTGCAGGGAGCGCGATGGGGGGAGGGGTGTCAGGAAGTGCCGCCCCTGCCACCCACCCGTGGCACCGGCGACAAAGCCGTCCTTGTTTCCACCCTCCCGCAGGTGGCTTCAGCTACAGGCTGCCATTCGGAGAAAGGTCTCTGACTCATGCTTTCAAACGGGGGATGCGCCCCTCGGCTTTGGCAGGCTTTCTTAATTTAATGCGTTTAAGTTTGAATAAATGTAAAGTGATCATTTCAACTAATGAATGCAAATCGCTAACTTAACCCTCACACAGTCCTGTCCTTCTTAGTCCCAGTTGGCAGAGGAGAAACCCGGGTGGCCCCCAGCAGCAGACCCAGGACATCTGACCATCAGAGCAGATCAGTGTTTAACAGCATCCTTCTCACTACAACAAGTATTTTCCTCAAGAATCGTGGAAGGAAACAAATAAGAATGGCCAGAAGAGAAACATAGACAGTGAAGTTTTTCTTGTATTAAACTTTGTATATCAATTATATTGATACATAAAGTGTATTGATATATATATATATATATTTGATTTCACCTTTTTACTCTGTATCAAATTATTATAGCAACAATGTATGATTTGTTTTTAATTTTTTTTAATGTTTATTTATTTTTGAGAGAGAGAGAGGCAGACTGCAAGCAGAGGGAGGGGCAGAGAGAGAGGAAGACACAGAATCCGAAGCAGGCTCCAGGCTCCGAGCTGTCAGCACAGAGCTCGACGTGGGGCTCGAACCCACAAACCGTGAGATCATGACCTGAGCTGAAGTCGGTCGCTTAACCGACTGAGCCACCCAGGCACGCCAAGAATGTATGATTTGTAACAGAGAAAAACCATGCACAGATCCAGTCTCCTAAGAAAACCGCATGTTTATTTCTCCATCATCCACTGCCAGCCTCCAACCATATGTGCACATATCTCTACATGGCTCTAATGACAGGAAATCTTCTATTTTTATGGCTTCTTTTTGTTGCCTGCCATATTATAAGCATTTTCAACATGGCAATAAAATCTTTATAATGATGGTTCAAAGCGGCTGCATGCAACAAATTAGAAGTGTACCAAATGAACAACAGTGTGAGGGTGGTGGGGGTGATAACATAAACATAACGACTCAGTATTTTTCTGTTTCCACAACTAAAGCAATGCATCACATTGCTCAGTAGTAGAGATATAAAATCCTTTTTGTGAAATTTAAAATAAAACGTAAAAAACCATAAATATGACATTACAGAAGGAAACAATAGATGAAGTACTTTTTAATTTCTTCAACGTTTGGATACGTTTTTGCTTGTTTTGTTTTGTTTTACAAAAAGGGAAAAAACATGAAGAAATATTTCCGATTGAATGAATAAATGAGCAAGCACATGAACCAATGAACCAGTCCATTTGTTGTATCCTCTGGATTATCTCTGCTAAAAAAAAAAAAAAAAAAAAAAAAAAAAAAAAAAAAAAAGTCTCATATTCTGTTACTGTAAGTTCCTGGTGCAGGCACACACACACACGCACACGCACACACACTGTTGGATTCAGACCTCTCATTTTCACGGGCCCCTCCCCCCCCTTACATTTATCACCGGATCTTTTCTTGCCGGAGGAGGACGAGTAGAAGGGAGCACCGAAGTATATGCTTAGTGCGCCACCCAGTGGTCGAGTTGCACTGCACGCAGTCTCTAGAGCTGTGACAGGTCACAGATGTCAGAAAGCTGTTAAATGCTCTGAAGCAGGTGTTGTCCCTCATTACCGAATCCATTTCTAAGCTTCTAACAAATGTATGAGCCCGGATCCATTTCTAACCTCTACCAACGTTTTTATTGTAATCTGAAAGAGGACTATGTATCTGAGCAACAAACTATCCACATGGAACCAGTGAGAACAGAGCTTGGCATTAACATTAAATAAACACACCGAGAAATCAATATAACATGTGTCTGTGATAGTGCAGGGGGGCATCTTGGCATAGGGCAAGCCGCAACTGACAAAACTTCAGGGAGAAATAGGTAGGCCGACAATTGTGGTTTGAAATATTATCACCCTCCTCCATGGTCAAGCAGCATAATTGATAAGACTGAGCTATTAGATGTCTATAACCCTCATACCTGGAACAAATAAATACACCTTCTTTTTGAGAGATGCAACATTTAAAACAATATGGTAAGCTCATGGGGCGCCTGGGTGGCGCAGTCGGTTAAGCGTCCGACTTCAGCCAGGTCACGATCTCGCGGTCTGTGAGTTCGAGCCCCGCGTCGGGCTCTGGGCTGATGGCTCAGAGCCTGGAGCCTGTTTCCGATTCTGTGTCTCCCTCTCTCTCTGCCCCTCCCCCGTTCATGCTCTGTCTCTCTCTGTCCCCAAAATAAAAATAAACGTTGGGAAAAAAATAAAAAATAAAATAAAAAAAACAAAACAAAAAAAACAATATGGTAAGCTCATAAATCTACAGATACCAAAGGATCCTTACCATTCGGACTATATTCTTTGATGACAAAGCAATAAAATTAGAAATGTATGACAAAAGAGACTTTAAAATCTAAAGAGAGGCAAAAGTCTAGGAAATATTTGGGGGGGGTAGTGGAGATAATAACTTCAATTTTTTAAGAAAAAGTTTGGTGATTGGGGCACCTGGGTGGCTCAGTCGGTTAAGCATTCCACTTGGGCTCAGGTCATGATCTCAAGGTCCATGAGTTCAAGCCCCGTGTCGGGCTCTGTGCTGACAGCTCAGAGCCTGGAGTCTCTTTCAGATTCTGTGTCTCCCTCTCTCTCTGACCCTCCCCCTCTCATGCTCTGTCTCTCTCTGTCTCAAAAATAAATAAACATTAAAAAAAATTTTTTTTTAAGAAAAAGTTTGGTGACCTCTAAAAGAATGGAAATACAATCTCATGGTTTCCCAACTAGACAAGAAAAAAAAAATAGAGATTATAGAAAATTGGCAGCATTTTCAATCCAAATGAAAGTAGAATGAAATAAAGAGGAAGAATATTAAAAAGATAATACAAAATGAGACAGTGGAAATAAACCCAAATGTATTAATAATTGTAAGAAAGATAAACATAATAAACTCAGATATTGAAAGAATTTATCGCATCAAAGTCCTAAAAATCCAATAAAATTCTACTTATGAAAGAGACCTACAACAAAACAAAGAAATTGGAAATAACCAAAACAAAGACCAAAAACAAAGAAATTGGAAATAAAGGGATGAAAGGGTGGCTTCGTAGCATAACAGAGACAAATAAACCATATGGTATTTAAAAAAACCTGAATAATAGATGAAGGGGAAGAGTACATAATAAAAGAATACGCCATTAAGAAAAGAGGACATCATAAACCTTGGCAGATCGAATAACATAGCTGAGTCCCTTAAATATGCACACGGATTCTTTAACCCTCCTCCATTCAAAAGATGGAGCCTCACTCCTCCGCCTTGAAAATGGGCTGAGCTTAGCAACTCACTTCTAATGAGCGTGTGGTGAAGTAACGGAATGTGGCCTCCGAAGCCGCATCAGAAACGCCCTCGCAGCTTCTGCCCTGCACATAATCGCCCGCTCTGGGGAAAGCCCGCAGCCGTGCCACGTGGACACTCCAGCAGCCCAGGAGGGGTCTGGGCAGGGAGAGAGACCACACCAAGCTGCCAACCACGGGAGTGAGCTTGGAACCAGCCCTCCAGCCCTGGGCCGCACCTGCAGAGGACAGCGGCCCCACAGAGAGACCCCAAACCGGAACCACCAAGCTAAGCCGTTTCTGAATCTCAGACTCAGAAGCTGTGAGATTATATTGTTGTTTTAAGCCATTCAGTTTGGGGGGGGGGGTTACTTGCTATGCAGGAACACACAACTGATAAAATGGCCTCAAGTTGTGGAAAGCAAAAACAGCCATCGTGACAAGGAGAAATAGACAAATCCCTAAGCCTCGTGGCAGATTCTAACAGCCTCTATCATATATGGATAGATCGTGCAGAAAAAAAGTGTAAGCATGTTGGAAGATAGTAGTACTGTTAGCTCATAGTTACTGAGAACTCAGGTGCTGAGCACCATTCAAAGTATTTTTGCTTGGATATAGAAACTTGCACCAAAAAATAGAGAGCATACATTATTTCAAATATCAAAGAGCACCACAAATATCGACCAGTTATAAGATCACAAAGAAAATCTCAATGTATTTCAAATAACCTGTTGTACTAATCACTGTCTCTACTAAATACAATGCAATTAAATTAAAAAGCAACAGGGGGCCTGGGTGGCTCTGTTGGTCAAGCGTCTGACTTCGGCTCAGGTCATGATCTTGAGGTTAGTGAGTTTGAGCCCCGTGTCGGGCTCTGTGCTGACAGCTCGGAGCCTGGAGCCTGCTTCAGATTCTGTGTCTCCCTCTCTCTGCCCCTCCCCCCTCACACTGTCTCTTTCTCTCTCAAAAATAAATAAATATTAAAAAATTTTTTAATTAAAAAAAGTAAGAAATTTTAATTAAAAAAATAAAATGGAGCAAATATGTGCAAAACGCACATCGACAAAAGACCTGTATCTACAATAGAAAATAACTCTGAAAACTTAATTAGAAAACAAAGAAAACAACCACATTTTTTAAAGAGGCAAAAACTTTGAACACTTTATCAGAGAAGATAACTGGATGGCAAAGAAGCACATGAAAAGATACTCAATGTCACTAGTCAACAATGGAAACAACCCAAAGGTCCTTCAACTAGCGAATGAATAAACAAACTGGAACAGCCATCTGATGGAATGCTATTTGGCAACAAAAAGGAAGGACTTATTGATACACATAATAATGTGGATAAAATCAAATGCATTATGCTAAACAGAAACCAGTCTCAAAAAGTAAGTCATATATGGTTCTATTTATATGACATTCTGAAAGTGCACTTTTTAGTTTTTGCTTTTTTTTTTTTTTTTTTTGCAGAGCCCAACACAGAGCCCAACACTGGGCTTGAACTCACAAACCTGAGATCAAGAGTCCAATGCCCAACCAACTGAGCCCACCCAGGCACCCCTATATGACATTCTGTAAAAAGCAAAACTATAAAGACAGAAAACGGGTCAGTGGTTACTAGGAGCCGGGGCAGGGGTGGGGTTGGCTACAAAGAAAAACAGAGGAATTTTGGAGGAAGATGGAACATTTCTTTTTTTTTTTTTTTTTTTTAATTTTTTTTTTCAACGTTTATTTATTTTTGGGACAGAGAGAGACAGAGCATGAACGGGGGAGGGGCAGAGGAAGAGGGAGACACAGAATCGGAAACAGGCTCCAGGCTCTGAGCCATCAGCCCAGAGCCCGACGCGGGGCTCGAACTCACGGACCGCGAGATCATGACCTGGCTGAAGTCGGACGCTTAACCGACTGCGCCACCCAGGCGCCCCAAGATGGAACATTTCTTGATCGTGGCAGTACTTACATGATTTTCTTTTTTTGGCAGTTACGTGATCGTGTGAGTGTCAAAACTAAAAACTAAAAGGGAGTGCATTTTACTGTATATAAATGATATGTTAATAAATCTGAGTAAAATAAACAAAACTAAGGAAATAGATCAACTTCTGGTGATACTGCTCAAGGTAAAAGACAAAGTCACACAAGTTTAAACAAATTTTAGGAATTGAGAAATATAATTACAGACCTGATTACAGATAATAAAATTTTAAAAATCAAAACACTTTACACCAACAAATTCGAAAATATATATTAAAATGGTAGCTCACTTTCCAACCCGGGCCTGGCAGGGTGGCTCCCGCAAAGAAGGATGGAGACAAGAAGGGCCCTTCTGCCATCAACGAGGTAGTAACCAGAGACTACACCATCAACATTCACAAGCGCATCCATGGAGTGGGTTTGAAGAAGCATGCCCCTCGGGCACTCAAAGAGATCCGGAAATTTGCTATGAAGGAGACGGGAACCCCAGATGCGCGCATCGACACCAGGCTCAACAAAGCTGTCTGGGCCAAAGGAACAAGGAATGTTCCATACCGCATCCACGTGCGGTTGACCAGAAAACGTAACAAGGATGAGGATTCACCAAACAAGCTCTGTACGTTGGTTACCTATGTACCTGTCACCACTTTCAAAAATCTACAGACTGGTTTTTTTTTTTTTAATTTTTTTTTTTTTTTACATTTATTTTTGAGAAACAGAGTGAGACAAAGCGTGAACGGGGGAGGGGCAGAGAGAGTAGGAGACACAGAATCTGAAGCAGGCCCCAGGCTCTGAGCAGGCAGTCGGCACAGAGCCTGATGCGGGGCTCGAACCCACGAACTGTGAGATCATGACCTGAGCCGAAGTCAGACACTCAACCGACTGAGCCACCCAGGCGCCCCAAAAATCTACAGACTGTTAATGTGGATGAGAACTAATTGCTGATTGTCAAATAAAGGTATAAAACTGCAAAAAAATAAAAAAGATAAATTAATTAAAAAAATAAAGTGGTAACTTCATAGAAAAAAAACCCCACCAAAATTAATAAAACAGAAAACCTAACTAAATCAACAATCATTCAGGAAATTAAACTGGTAATCAAAAGTATCTCCCATCAAAAAGACACCAGGCACATATGATTTTATATGTCAGCTTTATCCAACTGTTAAGAAACCAGTAAACTCCTGGGGCGCCTGGGTGGCTCAGTCGGTTAAGCGTCCGACTTCAGCTCAGGTCATGATCTCACGGTTCGTGAGTTTGAGCCCCACGTCAGGCTCTGTGCTGACCGCTCAGAGCCTGGAGCCTGTTTCGGATTCTGTGTCTCCCTCTCTCTCTGACCCTCTCCCATTCATGCTCTGTCTCTCTCTGTCTCAAAAATAAACGTTAAAAAAAAGTTTTAAAGAAACCAATAAACTCTATATCCTACAAAGTGTTTCAGGAAATTTTAAAAAGGTGAGCAAGCTATTTTGTTTTATGGGGTTAGTACAGTTTTCTGATAGCAAATAAGTATAAGAAAAATTACAGATCATTTTCACTAAGGAATATAGATGCATAACATTTTTTAAAAACTGCTCTATTTTATTTTTCTGTATACATTTTTTAAGTTATTTATTTATTTATTTATTTATTTATTTATTTATTTATTTATTTTAAGTAATCTCTACATCCAACCCAGGTTCAAACTCATGACCCCGAGAGCAAGAGTTGCATGTTCTCCCAACTAAGCCGGCCAGGCTTCCCCAAAACTGCTGTATTTTAAGGGGTGCCTGGGTGGCTCAGTCGGTCAAGCGTGCAACTTTGGCTCAGGTCAGGATCTCATGGCTCCTGAGTTCAAGCCCTACGTCTGTGCTGACAGCTCCGAGGCTTGGGTCTGCTTTGGATTCTGTGCTTCTCTCTGTCTCTGCCCCTCCCCTGCTCTTGCTCTGTCTCGGTCTCAAAAATAAATAAACGTTTAAAAAAGTTAACACACACACACACACACACACACACACACACACAAGCTCCCACATGCTCTTATCACAATGAAGTAGGGTTTAGCAAGGATACAATGTTAGTTTAACAGCAAATACTTCTATCAATATTCATCACAATGTATTATATTACCAAATTAAAGAAAAATGTGTTACCATCTTCATAGATGCAGAAGAGGCATTTGGTAAAATTAAACATTCATTCATTTTTAACAACACTCGGCACACTAGGGATTAGAGGCGTTGACTACGGTGATGCCCACAGCCAGACTGTGAGGGACATGCGTAAACTAACACAGATCCAGTTTCTTGGTATTTGCTGCCATGGGGTGGCTTGCACACCTCAGTAAAGTACTGCCAGGGGCTTGTGTGAAGTATTTTGGGTAAGTTTCAAAACAACATGGTTTTATTTTGGACTAAGTGCTGCCAGAAAGTGGGGGCAGATTTACATTTCAATTTTTTTTAAGTTTATTTATTTTGAGAGAGAGAGAGAGAGAGAGAGAGAGAAAGCAGTGGATGGGCAGGCAGAGAGAATCCCAAGCAGGCTCTGTACTGTCAGCACAGAGCCCGCTGAGAGGTTCAGTCTCACGAACTGTGAGATCACGGCCTGAGCAGAAATCAGACACAAGCAACTGAGCCCCACTATATTTCAATTTTTATCGAGGAGGCCCTCTGGACCCCACCTGTCGTGACTCTCTGCCTGCTGCCGTCTCTACTGGTAATTATGACACCTAGAGCAGGCTTTAAAACCTCTAAGGTGAGGGCCACCTGACTGGCTCAGTTGGTCAAACATGTGACTCTTGACCTCAGGGTCGTGAGTTCAAGCCCACGTTAGGTGTAGAGATTATTTAAGTAAATAAATAAAATAAACTGAAAAAAAAAAAAAAACCCTCCAAGGATAATATTTAAAGCCATGAGAATGGTCCTCTAAACTCTTCCCCATTGAGTCACCATCTTCTGGGCTACGGCCCTTGGGCAGCATACCCCCACCCACACACCCTCGTTTGCAACCATACCAGACTCCCCCATGCTCCCCGACATCACAGCCACTGTCACCCCTCGAGCCGTGGCTCACACTTTCAGCTCTGCCTAGAAGTCCCCTCACCCTTGCTTATCTCTTTCCTGCCTGGCAAACTTCTATTGCTTCTAGACCCAGCTCAAATGTCATGTGCTCTGCACCCCTTTACCCCTGTGTTGTCCCCCTCCTCATCATTCCTGCAGTCTTTCTTTCCTGTCTCTTGCCCTTCTTCGTCCTACATCAATGAAATACTGACTCTCTGGGTGCTAAGGAGTCCAGGGTGAATCAGGAGGCCACAGATCAGTGACAAGACTTATAGAACCACATGGGAAAACCTCAAGGTTGGAACAGGTCGGCTAGTCAGCTCAGCCAGCCCAGCTTCCGGCACTGGTGGGCACTTTGCAGATGCTCAGGGAACAGCTGTTGGTTGAAAGGAGTCTGTTCTGTGTTGAAATGTGTCCCCCCCCCCCGCCCCCGCAAATGATCCTTTCTAATCCTAACTCCCCAGTACCTGTGAACATAACCTTATCTGGAAATAGGGTCTTTGGAGATGAAATCAAGTTAAGATGAGGTCACGCTGGACTGGGTAGATTTTAATCTGAATACCGGTGTCCTCCTAAGTAGAGGGAAATTTGGACACAGGCATACAGGGAAGGCCTTGAAGGTGGAGGCAGAGACTGGAGCCACCTACAAACCAGCCAGCGACAAAGAAGCAGGAGGAGGCAGGGAAAGTTTCCCCCTCTGGAGCCTTCAGAGGCGGAATGGCCCGCTGATACCTTGACTTTGAACTTGTAGCCTCCAGAACTGTGAGAGAATACATTTCTGTTGCTTTAAGCCACCCAATTGTGGTAACTTGTTTCCGCAGCCCTAGGAGACCAATACGGAGTCATAAACTCCTGAGTCACCTCCCCCCCATCCCCCGCCCCCCACTGCCCTAGAAGGCCGCAGCTGCCCCAAACTCTGCTGCAGGCTGGATCTCCCCCCACCCCGAGCCTGGCCGAGGCCTCCGCTCTGTGACCACCAGAGGACTACTTCCCTATAGACACTAGATGGCGCCAGCGGACTGAGCCCTTCCGGCTCTCCGGGCCCCCCGGGGGCTGGTAAAGGGACTCCGTGCAAATCCAAGATGGGGATCAGACATCCAACTTTAAGTTCTTCCCAGAGAAAGTGGCTTTTGTTCTGTCAGTGAGGAAATTGGATCCTCTCCCTTGCAAACTCTCCTGCCAACTCCATCTCGCCCTTCCTCCTTCTCAGCCTCAGAATTTGAGTGGCCCGTTGAGGGCCGCTTTCCCTCTGGTCCTCTGCCACCAGAGGCTGGGGCACCCAGGGCTGGGACGAAGTGCAGGCCATGCCCATGAGGCCCTGAGCACAGGATTCGCAATCGTGATTTGGGGCAAGCCGGCCTGGGTGTCCCAGGTGTGGGGACTACCACCTCCGCAGACGGCGTGGATGTGGGAGGGAAGACAGGGTGTGTGCATCCACTCTGGCTCTTGGGACTCTGTATTCGCCTCCCAACTTGACATCTCCCACGGCTAACGTCCATTAGACCCAGCTCCTTCTCCAGCCTTCCCATCGCAGAGAACCCACTCCACAATCTGAGAGCCATTTCTGATACTTTCTTCTCTTTCTCCCCGTGTCCTACCCATTGCTGCGCACTGAAGAGCCCGCCTCCAAAGCACGTCTGAGATTTGTCCGTTTCTCCCCACTGCCCCTGCCACCCCCTGGTCCAGGCCACCACATTGCTCACCTGGACTAGCCCCTTGCTACTCAGTGTGGTCTGTGGATCAACAGCATGGGCACCACCTGGAAACTTGCTAGAGACGCAGGGTCCCAGGACCCACCCCAGACCTCCTGGACCCGAATCTACATTTCGGTAAGCTCCTCTCGGGTGACCGGGGAATTCTTGAGGCACGGTGCTGACTCGTCTTTCCGCACCTGCTCTTACCCTCCTCCACCCATTTGAACAGAGTAAGAACCTTTTGGAGACATACCAGATGATTCCACTCCCCTGCTAAAAGGCTTCCGTGGCTTCAGCGCTCTTAGATGGTGTTCAAGTCTTTATCATGGCCTATGAGACTTGCCTACTCCTGCAGCATGCTTTCACCCCACTCTGCTTCTGGCTCCCAGCCCTTCCTCCTTCTGAGTTCCCGGCAGGCTGGACCTCTAACTGGAACCTTCCTCACCTAGTTAACCCCTGTGCATTTTTGCACCTCAACCATCACTTCCTCAAGGAAGCTGGGGACCACACCAACGGGGTCCAGCTGACCAGACCAGTTCTCACAGGCAGAGACTGCGTGGATCTGTGCTCCTCTGTATTCCTAGTGCCTCTGTATTCCTAGTAGTAGGTGCTCAACACACTTGCTAATTACTGATGCGTCAGAGCAGGCCCATGAGGGTGTGAGTGCTTGTGTTTCCGGAGCTACTGTGACTCTCCATCCCAGGATTATGAGGACCAGGCCAGCATCAGATCTGGTAGAGCCATGGATGCTGTGCCCCCGAGATACCGGATCCCCTCTCTGCACATTGTCCTGCCAATCCCGACCTGCCCTCTGCAACCTCAGTGTTGCAGTTGCTGCGAGGAGAAGTAGGAGGGGGCGGAGCACTCACTGACTGCCTGGTTCTGCCCTCACTGGCAGGCTGTCCTCTGCTCCTCCCACTTCCTCTACAAGTTCCAGTGGGGGCCAAAGACTTCTATTTTCACCCCAAAAACAATCCCCTGGCTTTGTCCCCCACACCCAAACAAGGGCGAGGACCCTTCCCTGGGTCCTGGCCCCTCACTCCAAGACCTCTTGACCTTCTGCACTGGCCCCTGACTTGCTCTTTCCAATCAAAGCTTGCTTTCATTTCTCTGGTATTCCCCCTTCTTCCCGTAGAGATGTACAGTCTTTTTTGACCCTTTTGTCCGTTTCTCTTACTCTTCTTCACACGGTCAACCACAGAGCTCAGCTCTCTCGACCTGAACGATCTCCCCAAACACCTGAGCAATACTCCCATCTCTTCCAACTCGCTCAAGCCCCCCTGTGCTCTAATCCCCCAGAGGGCTGCCCTTCCCCCTCTCCCACCAGGACGCCTGCAGGGGTCTCCTGGTTGGCTCTCCACTCCAACCCCTTGTCCACCACCTTCTTTTCTAATATATTATGTTCGGACCACATCATTCAGTCTTCAAATCCTTCAGTAGCTCCCACTTGCCTCGGGAATCCTGTCTGCATCCCTAGTGTGACAAAGTCCTGCTGGGTGTGGGCATACCCCCTGAGCTGCTTCCCTCACTGGCTCCCTCCACCCTGGACTCCTGTCCGTTGCCTGGATAGGTCACTGTTGTCGGGGGAGAGCCTTGGCCGGACACCCTATTGTGAGACTGGATGTATGAGTTTGCCAGGGCTGCTGTAACAAAGTACCACAGACCAGGTGGCTTAAACAACAGAGATTATTTTGTCATAGTTCTGGAGGCCAGAAGTCCTAGATCGACGTGTCAGCAGGGACCCTTCGTTTGAAGACCATGAGGGGAGGATGTGTTCCAGTCCTGTCTCCTGTACTTGTGGATGGCCATCTTTTTCCTGTGTCTTCACATCCTCTTCCCTCTCAATGGGTCTGTGTCCAAATTCCCTCTTCCTATAAGGACGCTAGTCAGTTTGGATTAGGGTCCACCCAAAGACCTCATTTAAAATTTTTTTTTTTCAACGTGTTTTATTTATTTTTGGGACAGAGAGAGAGAGAGAGAGCATGAACGGGGGAGGGGCAGAGAGAGAGGGAGACACAGAATCGGAAGCAGGCTCCAGGCTCCGAGCTGTCAGCCCAGAGCCCGACGCGGGGCTCGAACTCCCGGACCGCGAGATTGTGACCTGGCTGAAGTCAGACGCTTAACCGACTGCGCCACCCAGGTGCCCCTCAAAGACCTCATTTTAACTTAATTACTTCTTTAAAAAAAATTTTTTTTTTAATGTTTTTATTTATTTTTGAGCCAGAGAGAGACAGAGCATGAGCAGGGGAGGGGCAGAGAGAGGGGGAGACACAGAATCCGAAGCAGGCTCCAGGCCCTGAGCTGTCACACAGAGCCCGACATGGGGCTGGAACTCACAAACCGCTAGATCATGACCTGAGTCGAAGTCGGACTTTTAACCGACTGACCCTCCCAGGCGCCCCTAACTTAATTATCTCTTTAAAGACCTGATCTCCAAATAGGATTTCGACATATGCATTTTAGTGGGGAGGCAATCCAATTCATAACACCAAAGATCCCAGGAAATAATTATTTTCTCAGGGAAAGAAGATGGAAATAACGGGCAATGAGCATGGTTTATTGTCCTTAAACAAGGCACTGCAGGGAGCTGCGTGTTCCTTCCCAGAAGGCAGATTACTAATTTGGAACAAGAGAAAAAACATCAGATAAATTTGCAAAACTTCTTGTGAATATTCCTTCTGATCCTAGGTAATACACATTTTGCTTTTTTAAGAAATAATTTTTTGAACGGGTATTATAGTCACTTGCTTCAAAACCCAGAGTCACACAAGGGGTGAAAGATGATCCTTCCTCCCATGTCACTCTCCTTTCCCAGAGGCACTTCATGCTTCCTGTATCAGGAGTGGTCCTCTGTACATTGACACACTGACACATTTCTCATCATCTCTTTTTTGTACACAGATGACAGCATTAATGCATTTGTTCTGCACTTGGCTTTTCCCATATGACAGTGGATTCTGTAGGTTGGTCCAGAGCTGGGACACCTGGGTGACTCAGTCAGTTAAGCATCTGACTCTTGGTTTCAGCTCAGGTCACGAGATCTCATGGTTCATAGGTTCCAGCCCCACATTGGGCTCTGCGCTGACAGTGCAGAGCCTTCTTGGAATTCTTTCTCTCTCTCCCTCTCTCTCTGCCCCTCCCCTGCTTGCACTTTCTCTCAAAAGTAAGTACATAAACTTAAAAAAAAAAAAAAAGATTGGTTCAGGACTATTATATTTGCTTTTCCATATCCACTTTGTATTTGGATGTATCGTATGCTGCAACAAAATGTTCCAGGCCCATCTTGTGATCTTCCCTCCCCAGCTCTGAATCAGCCATTTCTCCAAGGACTCCTGGTTCCTTTCAGTGGCAAACAATATTTTAAAAGTCAAGATCTAGGGGAACCTGAGGGGCTCAGTTGGTTAAGCATCTGACTCTTGATTTCGGCTCAGGCCATGGTTAGTGGGTTCGAGCCCCATATTGGGCTGTGAGCCGACAGCGTGGAGCCTGCTTAGGATTCTCTCTCCCCTCTCCCTGCCCCTCCCCCACTCTCAAAATAAATAAACTTAAAAAAATAAACAAATAAAAGCCACGATCTGAACTCTAGGTATGCTCTCTGTAGTTGAGGCGTCACTGCTCCCAAGCCCTCTGGGGACAGCTAGGGAATATCTGTGTATATGTGTACATGTGAACATGCACTGTGTGTATTTATTTCTGCAGCTATTTGAGTAGATGGTATATCATGGGTCCCCACCAATACCTCCAATTCCAATCTGACACAGCTGGGTTGGTTATTTTGTTTCCCTTTCTGATTTTGTAACTCTGCTCCCACTTACCGGCTTCAGAAAGGACTTGTTCAGTAATAGGAGGGACGAGGAACTGCATTATAATGTGATGGTTGTTGCCAAATTGCCCTGCAAAAAGAATGTACCCATTTACACCCCCACCAGATATTTTTAAGCTTTTTCTTTTGCCGGTATCATAGGTGGAAAATACTATTTCTGATGTTTTAACATGTATTACTTTTATATGATAGCTTGCTCATTTTTGAATGTTTCTTTTTTTTTAAAATTAATTTATTTGAGAGGTTGGGGAGGGGCAGGAGAGAGGCAGAGAGAGAATCCCAAACAGGCTCTGTGCTGTCAGTACAGAGCATGATGCCCGGCTTGATCCCATGAAGCGTGGGATCGTGACCTGAGCCAAAATCAAGAGTCAGATGCTTAACCCTCTGAGCCACCCAGGTGTCCCCACTTTTGAATGTTTCTAATGACAAATCAAGAAACTTGGCAAGAGTGTTGTAGTTGGATGTAACTACTGTCCTTCCACTTCTGCCCTAAAGAAAACAATAGAAGGGGCAAAAAACCAAAAAACCAAAAAACACCTCTCGGCTTTGGAATTGATGCCTGGTCGTTGCTGGCAGAAACTTGGTTGCAAGCAGTGGGTGTCCCTTCTGTCGCCATCCCAAAGAGCAAGTGAATTGGCCCTGCGTTGGAAACTTGAATTGGTCCTGTCATTTCTGAAGACTCCCCTTGCTGGCAGGGGCCAGGAGCTGGTGGATTGTGACAGAAAATCTGCTATGCTCTGTTTTTGTTCAGGATAGACTCTGGGACAGACAGTCTCTAGATACTTGTCTCTGGGTGTGCTGAAATTTCTTTCTTGTGATTAAAATAATTAAAGTTTAGTCAATCCAAAGAAGAAAGGCATTTCTTATTTTGGTAGATCTTTTTTTTTTTTTAACGTTTATTTATTTTTGAGAGAGAGAGAGAGACCGAGCATGAGCAGGGGAAGGGAAGAGAGAGAGAGGGGGACACAGAATCTTAAGCAGGCTCCAGGCTCTGAGCTGTCAGCACAGCTTGAACGTGGGGCTCGAACCCGCGAACCATGAGATCATGACCTGAGCTGAAGTCAGACACTCAATCGACTGAGCCACCCAGGCGCCCCTTACTTTGGCAGATCTTTGGTATTAGGTTGAAATTGCCCATAGCTGACCTTTTGTATTAACCTGCAAAAACAACAACTTTGGATGATTCTAATTTTATATGCTGGTATTTTGATCTATGGCCTAACAAGTCCCCTTCCCACTTACTTCCTTACCTGTGTTGTCGAAACATAATCCATCCTTCATGATGTAAAGTGAAGGGCACCTTCCCTGGGAATCTCCGCTCATCCCGAGAAATAAAGTCTTCCTCCCTTCTCACTACTCAGGCACTGTGCTGGTGCTCCATTAGACTTTTTAAATGAAGTTTTAGGTAGCTGTTTAGTCTCTTTCTCCCTATTAGTCTGCAAGCTATTTGAGGACAAAGGCTGAGTCTTGCTCATTTTTGTGCCCCTGGAATCTAGTACCAGGCTTTGTATTAAGTAGATCCTAAAAAAAAAAAAAAAAAAAAAAAGTTTTTTAATTTTGTGTTTAATGTTTATTTAATTTTGAGAGAGAGAGAGAGAGAGAGAGAGAGAGAGAAAGCGTGAGCGGGGCAGGGGCAGAGAGCAAGGGAGACCCAGAATCCCAAGCAGGCTCCGGGCTCTGAGCTGTCAGTACAGAGCCCCATGCGGGGCTCGAACCCATGAGCAGCGAGATCATGACCTGAGCCAAAGTTGGACGCTCAACTGAATGAGCCACCCAGGCATCCGCCCCCCCGCCCAATTTTATTAAACAAATGAACAAATGATTGGAACATGAGTGAGGACAGTCTTCCATCCCACAGACAGGTTACACTAAAAGTCCCTACAAGTGTTTGGAACCCGGATGCTCAAGGGCTTTGGGGCCACCCCAGAAGCCACAGCAACCCTCATGCTTGGTAGTTGTGTTGAGCCATAATCCTTCCATCACACATCCCAGATCACCCCCAGATGTTCAGCCCTGGCCCCCCAGGA